AATATGAAAGGAAATGCATAGTGCTGAATGTCTTAGAGTTGCCAAAGTAGATTGGTATTGGCCATTTTGAATTAGATAATCATATGGTCTACTCCACTGGAAATAATAAATTGAAGAGAAATAGCATCCCATTCATAATCAAAAAGAACATTTCAAGATCTATCCTGAAGTACAATGCTTCAATTATTGTCACAATAGGACAATATTCATGTACCTACAAGTAAGACCAGTTAATATGACTATTATTCAAATTTATACAAAAACCACTAAAGCCAAAGATGAAGACATTAAGAGTTTTACCAATGTCTGCAGTGTGAAATTGATCAAACACGCAATGAAGATGCATTGTTAATTACTGATGATTGGAATGGGAAAGTTGGAAATAAAGAAGGATTAATAATTGGAAAATATGGCCTTGGTGATAGAAATGATACTGGAGATGATACGATAGAATTTTTCAAGACCAACAACTTATTCATTACAAATACCTTTTTTAAACAATATAAATGACAACTAATTAAACTTTGGGTTTTCAAGGCAGTATCACTACAGAAGTAGATTGCCCAACCTTAATTCCATGGAGTGGCTGGTAGGTTTGAACCACCAGCCTTCTGATTAGCAGTCAAATGCCTTAGGTATTATGCCATCAGAGCTCCCAGATAGAATACAGGAATCAAATCGACTACATCTGTGGAAAGAAATGATGGAGAAGCTCATTATCAGCAGTCAGAACAAAGCCAGGGGTTGACTATGGAACAAACCATCAATGGTTCATATACAAGTTCAAGTTGAAGCTGAATAAAATTTAAAATAAATCCACAAGAGCCAAAATATTACCTTGATTATACCCCACTTGAATTTAGATTATCTGAAGAATAGCTTGACGTATTGAACACCAACAACCAAAGACCAGATGAATTGTGGGACTACATCAAGGACATCATACATGAAGAAAGCAAAATGTCATTAAAAACATAAGGAAGACAGAAAAAAAAAATGGATGTCAGAAAACATTCTGAAACTTACTATTGAACATAAGATAGCTAAAATGATTGGAAGAAATGATGAAGTAAAAGACATGAATAGATTTTAAAGGGCAGCTCGAGAAGACAAAGTAAGGTATTACAATGAAATGTGCAAAGAACCAGAATTAGAAAACTAAAAGTGGAAAACACATTCTGCATTTCCTAGGCTGAAAGAACTGAAGAAAAAATTTGAGCCTCATGTTGCAACATTGAAGGATTTTATGTGAAAATATTGAATGCTGCAGGAAAGATCAGAAGAAAATAGAAACAATACACAGAGTCACTGTATCAAAAAGAATTCATTTACATTTAATCATTTCAGGAGCTAGTATATGATCAAGAACTAATGGTATTAAAGGAAGAAGTCAAAGCAGCACTAAAGGAATTGGTGAAAAACAAGGACTCCAGGAAGTGACAGAATACCAATTGAGATGTTTCAACAAACACATGCAATACTGGAAGCATTCATTCATCTACACCAAAAGATTTGGAAGACAAGTATCTGTCCAATTAATAGAAAGAGATCCATATTTGAGGCCACCACAAAGAAAAGTGATTGCACTCAATGGAGTGTGCAAATTATTGACAATACCATTAATTTATATCACATGGAAGTAAAATTTTGCTGAAAATAATTCAAAAATGGTTGTAGCAGTCCATCAGTAGGGAATATCCAGATATTCAAGCTGGATGCAGAACAGGGCATAGGATGAGGGATAATCACTGCTGATGTCAGATAGATCTTGGCTGCAAGCAGAAAATACCAGAAGGATGTTTACTTGTATTTTATTGGCTATGCAAGGGTATTTGATTGTATGGATCATAACGAGTTATGGATAACATTGTAACAAACGTGAATTCCAAAACATTTGATGGTGCTCATGAAGAACCTACATATAGATGAAGAGGCAGTCATTCAAAAAGAGCAAGGGGATACTGCATGGTTTAAAATTGGGAAAGGTGTGTGTCAAGGTTGTATCCTTTCACAATACATATTAAATCTGTATGCTGAGCAAGTAATACAAGAAGCTGGGCTATATAAAGGAGAAGGTGGCATTAGGATTAGAAGAAGACTCATTAACAACCTGAGATATGCAGATGACACAACCTTGCTTGCTGAAAATGAAGAAGACTTGAATCACTTACTGATGAATATCAGAGGTATAGCTTTCAGTATGGATTACACCTGAACATAAAGAAAATAAAAATCCTCTCAGCTGAACCAATAAACAACATCATGATAAGCAGAAAAAAGATTAAGTTGTGAATGATTTAATATTCTTGTATCCACAACCAACATCCATGGAAGCAGTTGTCAGTATATCAAATGATGCACTGCATTGGGCAAATCTGCAAAAGACCTCTTCAAAGTGTTAAAGAGCAAAAATGTCACTTTGATAGCTATGGTGTACCTGACTCAAGCCATTGTTTTTTCAACAGCCTCATATGCATAGACAATGGATAAGGGAGACTGAAGAAGAATAGATGCCTTTGAATTATGGGGTAATGAAGACTATTGAATATACCATGGACTGCCAGAAATCTATTTTGGGTGAATTACAACCAGAACACTCCTAAGAATCAAGGATGGTGAGGCTTCAGCTCTTGTGCTTTGGTCATGTCAGGAGGGACCAGTCCCTGAAGAAGGATATCATGGTTAGTTAAGAAGAGAGTCAGTGAAAAAGAGGAAGACTCTCAATGATATATATTGACACAATGGCTGCAATAATGGGCTCAAGCACAACAATAATTGTGAGGATGGCAAAATCATTGATGGGCAAATCAATGTTTTGTTCTGTTGTAAGTAACATCACTGTGGGTCTGAACCAACTCAAAAGCACTTAACAACATTGCAAAAGTTAGAATATAATTTTACATAAAATAAGGTAATATGATTGCACTGGTTGATAGTTACATTGCTATTAATATCCTTTTACTTTTCTCAGAGGATTTGATAAAGGTCATTCCTTTTTCATGTTCTTTACATATTTTGAAAATATTGAATTACCCTATCTAGTCCTTACTTTTCCATTGAAATTATTTCCAGGTATTACAATATTAAAGAAAATTCATGTGTTAAACGTACTTATCTAATCTTCCTTTATGGTTGTTTTAAATATGTTTTTCTCTTGTTTTTTAAGTTCCTATTCCATAATCTGTGTTTTATTTCTAAACTGAGTAGATTATACGTCAATTGTTTTATTCATTCTCTTTACTCTTAAAAATCTAATAGGAATACCTCATACAATTGAGAAAAAAATCTGGGTAATTTGAAAATGAGACAAACAATGAATAAAAGAAGGTTTAAATCAATGTTTTTCAATGTTTATTTTTAAAAAAATAACCATTTTCAATGGAGGGATAAATTACCTTTAAAGATAATCTATTAATTTTAGGAAACCATTCTAGAAATCTTGATAATATATAAGGAGCATACTACTCCTCAAAAAAGCAAAAAATGTTATGAAGAAATTGTCAATTTAATATATTGACTACTTTTTTGTCAATATATTTTCTATAATTTTTCTTAAAATACAGCATTCACCCTAACTCTGCTTACCTCCTGATAAACTAATAACAGATAGTTTTTCTTCTGATGTTGCTGATGTATAGATTCTGATCATGTTGACTTCTGCAAGAAATAAAATGCTTGTAAGTCATACTTGAGATTCCTTAAATATCTTGTTTTTAAGAAAAAGAAAAAAAAAAATACCACAATATAGTATTCCTTGAAGACAGTTTACCCCACTACCACTACCCTCAATTCAGAGTAAGCCCAAAATGTTTTCTCTGTCTACTTATCATGGGAATCCCACAGTGACTGGTCATTCTCTTCTCATTAATAAGGTGTGTTGTTATGTTGTTAGGTGCCATCAGGATGGTTCTGACTTATACCAACCCTATGTACAACAGAAGGAAATACAGCCAGATCCTGAACCACCTCACCAAACAAAAAAACCAAAAACATTGTCATCGAGTCAGATCAGACCTATGGAGAAACCCCTCCTTGGGTTTCTGAGGTACTCGGTATCACTATAGAAGTAGATTGATCAACCTTCCTTCTGAGGAGTGGCTGGTGGGTTTGAACCACCAGCCTTCTGATTAGCAGTCCTTGCTATATTTGAGAACATTTTTCCACTTACTGTGTCAATTCATCTCATTGAGGGTCTTCCTATTTTTTGCTGGTCCGCTATTTTACCAATCATAATGTCCTTCTCCAAGGATTACTCCATCCAGAAAACAAGTTTAAAGTACGTAAGATGAAGTCTCATTGAGGATAATGAACTTAAGTTATTTGTCCATGGTTTCTCTTCTCATCAGCAAATTATCTAGGTGTAAGTCCATAGCTAGGCAGTGACTTAAGGGATAAACATGAGTTCATGATTCTTAACACAAATTCATGATTATTTAATGAAGATAGAAGAGTCAAACATATAGTTGGGAAAATGTTTTAATGAATATAGCACTGACTAGGAAAGGATTTATATATTTTTGCAGGAAAATTCCTGGGTTCTTGTAACAAAAGGTTGTATGGACATGTGTGGGGTAATTCCTGGGAGTTGGAGATTAGATTGGATATAAGTGGACCAAACTTTATTCCATTTCATCCAGACAGACTCTTAATTTTATATCCTGATAACTCTGCTGCTGTGACAGACATTTCTAAACTCAAAGACGTATGTGTTAAGTTACATTATAAAAATACCTATAGATACTTAAGATATTTTTATCACAAGCACTGAGTGAAAGATGCAGAAAGATATTCAGTAAATAGGGATATAAATATAAAAGAAGAAGAAGAAGAAGTACACAGCTAGGTCAGAAACTTGGACATAAAATGATGCCTTAGGACAATTTGTACTTTTACCACAAAAGCTATTTTATGAAGGCTGCTGAGTACAGATATGAAGATCTTTTGCTCCTTTGCCAAAAATCAGAATTTTCACATTCTGTGAGAGATCATATGACCATAGATCAAACTCCAAGTCTATGGGTAGTGAAAAGGTGGAGAATGCCGCTCCGGATCCTTTTGGTCTTGACACTGTAGATTATAGGGTTCATTAATGGAGGGAACAGAAAATAGATATAGCTCATAATGAGGTGGAGGATGTGTGGAACCTGCTTCCCTAACCGATGAATCAGAGACAATCCAATCACTGTGACATAGAAAACCAGGACACAGCAAATATGGGACACACAGGTATTGAGGGCCTTGGACTTCTCCTGTCTGGAAGCAAGGCTCAGAACACTCTTGAATATCAACATGTAAGAGATGAAGATAGTCAGAGAATCCAGCACAAATATGAAGACCACAAGTACAACTGGATACAGAAGATTGAAGGTGATATCTGCACAGGCCAGTTTGATAACATCCTGGTGAAGGCAGAATGCATGAGAAAGGACATGGGAGTGGCAATATGGAAAAAAATAGAGGGGTGTAATTGGAGGAATAACAGATACAAATCCCCTCATCAGAATTCCCAGGCCAATCTTTACCACTCTACTATTGGTGAGGATAGAGGTGTATCTAAGAGGGTTGCAGATGGCAACAAAGCGGTCATAGGCCATGGCAAGCAAAACTCCAGACTCTACAAAGGAAAGTGAGTGTATAAAGTAGGCCTGGGAAAAGCAAGCTCCATTTCCAATCTCCCTGAGATCCAACCAGAGGACTCCCAGCACTGTGGGCATTGTAGTCAAGGTCAGCCCTAAATCTGTGGCTGCCAGCATGGCCAGGAAGTAGTACATGGGTTCATGAAGATTGTGATCTTCTTTGATGAGAAGGATGAGGGTGCCGTTGCCAAAAAGGACAGTGATGTAGACAAAGAAGAAGGGCATGGAAATCCAGTGGTGAGATGTCTCCAAGCCTGGAAAACCAGTCAGCAGGAAGGAACTGGAGCTGTTGCTGGGCCACATGTTGGGTTAATCTTGAAGAAAATGTCTTTCTCTCTCAGTTATGACCACAGAAATGCAGCTCTATTTTCAAAGTATGATTCCAGTCATATTGCCTCAGAATTCTTTCTTAAAGATAATAATTACATCAATATAAGCCATTGTTTCTCAAATATAGTCTTAGGACAACCTGTAGTTTTTGTGTTCTTAGTTGCACATTCTCTGGCCCAGCATCTGCTTAATCAAATCCATGGTATGTCTCTTGAGCATCTGCGTTTTAACCAACTCCCTATCTGCAATTAGAAACAGTTTCCCTCAACTCTGAAGATTACATAAAAGAATCCCTGGGGGCTTAGTGCCTAAGGCATTTGACTGCTAACCAGAAGGTTGGCAGTGTAAATCCCCCATCCATTTCCTGGCAGGAGGACTGGTCACTAGGAGTCAGAATCAACTCAGTGGCAGTGAGTTTGGTTTTTGCTTTAACCTTAGTCCAATCTACTACTCAGAAATATAATTTATTTCATAGTAGTGATTTCTATCCTGTATTGTCCTGCATATAGGCTTTTTCTCTGAGACTCAACAAATTCCCAGGCGTCTAAGGAAGATAATTATGAGAGGAGCAACTGTGCCACTACCACTTTTGCTGAGGAGCAAACAGACATGAGGAACAGACACCTTACCTCCACATTCTATGTTTTAGTGGTTGCAAAAAAATTATTTACATCAAGTATTTATTAGGTGTTTCACTAATTAGGTGCAGACACTACAGAGTAATTGATAACAGCCCAGAGTAATTGTAAATGGGATCATTTTAAATCCTGGCGCTAGAATAAATAGTTAGGTCAGCCAAGGAGAGGACTCATAAAAATACTTATCCTTCAGTTTGGAAATTTTATTTTCTGTTTTCCTTGTTGTATCGCTCTCTTTGTCTATTCTCTTTCTGTAGGTTCACTGAAATAACTCCCCAGAACCTGATCTTCTCTCTCCCTTCAAGTTCTCCCTTTGTATTTTAATCAACCGTCTTCCTGGTATCTTTCCTTTTACTCCAAGCCCTGGTCCTCTCTCCAGTACTCAATAAGAGCTTCACTGCTACAAAAACAGAGAGTTGCCTGTGGAAGAGGGAGGATGTGTTCCTATCAGATATTGGAATTAATGGTTTTAACATCTCTTCCAGACTACAGGCTCCTTATGTGTAGAAACAATATTATATTTGCCTTTTTTCAACACCTAAAAAAGGACTTAACATATAGCATGCATTCATTTGTTAGTTCATCCAATATCTATTAAGCACTCACCTGTGTTATTCATAGCACTTTAAGCACTGGAAATAAATGGTTTCCAGGACAAAGTCCCCAATCTTATGAACTCAAATTAAATTAGAAAATAAATACTACAATTTCAGGCAAATATAAATACAATTATAACACAGAGCAGTATAATATAATAAATCATCTTTGAGATGGATTGAATATAATTTAATAGAGTACTTTGTGTCCAGGACTGTGCCCATCTGAGGAAGTGACATTTAAGCTGAGACCTGACTCACAAAAAGAGCTAATCATATAAAGATCTAGAGGAAAAACAATTTCATTCAGAGAATACCAGCATCACTCGACTTTTATGAGCAATCTGGAGAGGGAAACTAGGTAATGTGGTTTGATAAAGTGATCAGTTTTTACAGGTCTTTAAAAGCCATGAGGATTTTTATTTTTATTAAAAATGTGATGGAAGACATCAGAGAGTTTTAAAAATCATAGTAGAGGATGGAAAGGTGATATAGACTGATTCACATTTCAAAATGATTTACTAAGAGAGCCATGTGAAGAATGGATTATAGTGAAGCAAAAGAAAAGAAAGCCATAGAAATAATCCAGGTAAGAAGTGATGATGGGACTTTGAGTAGGACAAAAGCACTGGAAATGAAGGAAAGTTAGCATATAATGATACATTTTTGAAACAGTAGCAAGAAGAGTTCATGGTGAGTTAGAAATGGAAATGAGGGGAAAAAGAATTGAGATTAATCCCAGATTTTGACTTGAGCAAATAGAAGAATTGTTAAATCATTTACCAACATGGGGAAGTCTCATGAAGTCAGAAGATGAGGAAATCTATTCTTTAGTAAATATGGCTGAATTGGAACAAATGCATGTCCTGGCTATTTCCTTCCTGCACAATACAAAAAGAGTTTCTTCAAACTTTAAAAATCAAATTTAAAAAGATGATAGGATTCAAATGTGTCCCTTGTCACTTATTTTCCAGTAGAAGTCACAGCCCTTTACGTGTCCCCAAATTGAATTGTTTTCTTTTCTCATACTTGTACAAGTGAAATCTAACTGCAATGGATTTCAGCAATGAAGAATTGCCAGACATTTGGGTGTTAGGAGTTACTTCAACCTTCTTGCCTTGACTTTAGGAGATGGAAAGTTAACAGAATCACTTCAAACTTTCCATACTCTTTCCCTAGAAATGGCATCCTTAAAAACGTTTTGCATATTCAAAATACAATGAGTGATGTTTGTTCCTTATTCACTGGATGCAAAACAGTGCCACACTGATCCTTCTCCTCTGTCCTCTAAATACAACTTCATATTCTGTCTTCAATTTTCTTTCTCTAAAGAGCTTTAGGAGCATAGTGCCTAATGCACTGGACTGCTAACCTGAAGGCTGGTGGTTCAAACCCACCAGCCACTCCCCAGAAGGAAGGTTGGGCAATCTACTTCCCTAGTGATACCACCTTGGAAACCCAAGGAGGGGTCACTATGAGTCGGGTCCAACTCGACAGCATGTAACAACAACAACAACCTTTCCACAGCAATCTTTTTTAGGCCAACCTTACACCCCACTCAATTTTGTGAGATTTTTTTTTGTTGTTGTATTTGTAAAAGAATATGCTTGCACTAACAAGCAGTAAAGAACTACAGAGAAAACTACTCCAAATCAGAAGGATTCGTTTTATTTTGCCACTAGTCTTCAACTCAAAATTTTCTTTTTCCTATTACCAAAAATGTCATTTATATCTACCCAGTTCTGAAGGTATAATAGAGCTATAAAATCACCATACTTCACACTGTGAGAAATGCACCTATCCTCAACTACATGCTGCTCGTGGTTTCTGCGAAGGATCATTGGAGAAGAAACAAAAGACAAGCAAAGATCATAGAGAGGGACAAGGATTATGAAGGTTGAGAGTTGCATCAAGAGGAAGAATCTACTGTTGGGCCTATAGAAAGTCAAGCAATTTTCACCCATTCATAGCAATAACCCTTCTCTGCCTCATTTAAAATTTTGGTAGAACAAGAGATGCTTCTGTGTTTATCATCTAGATGGGAGAATCCAAGGAAGAGGTGTTATACCCCTATGTGGAAAGATTACCATATTCATACCACTGGGCATGATAGACTTAGGTACTCATGGCCAAGTCTCTTTCCAAGTAATATGAACTTCAGGTTGAGATCTAGACATCTATTCAGAGCTATAGGGTATGGAGATGTGGTCCTCCTCTATCACTCCAACCCCTTCTCAGTAATCAGTTTACAGAGGAGTTTCTTAGTATCCTCTTGCTGCATCTTCTGGGCATTCCCCTACACTTGCCTGTATCATTTCTGGGTTTTGGTTGAGAAGCAGCGTTCTTAGGTTTGGTCTGAAAATCCAGATTAGATATCTCCTTCTCGTAGTCTGGTAAGATATCCAGTCTGTGAGTTTATTAGTAGATAACACACCTCCCCAGAGTTCTCCCTTTTTCAATCAGTTGGGATCTTGAGAAATCGTTTTTCTCTCTTAATCCCTTCTATGAATCAGCTGAGACATTTTATTATCTCTCCAGAGTCTTAAATCAATACTTCTCCAAATAAGGTATGGGATTACTAGATCCCCAGGTGGCAAGCTTGTATGTCAAGAATGAAGAGTTTGTTCTTATGGCCCCAGCAGACCCTGTTAGCACTTGTGGGAGCCCATTAATTCTCCACATCAAAGACCAAACATTTTCCAGCTGCTGTGAGCAGAAACACATGCGTCTTGGTATATGTCTTTTGAATTCTAACTATATTTTCTGCTTGGTTCATCCAGCTTGAGAGTGGAAAGTTAGAACAGAGTTAATACGGGAAAAGATCTTCTCTAGGACACATCCACAATCTGCAGCCTGTACTTTCTATTTTCTCTTAGTGAATTCATCTTGCTAGCATTACTCTTGCTCCCTAGATATGCAGATAATATCCTTATTAGTGCTGAAGCCAAGCGTACCCTATAGCTCTGGCTCTAGGGATATGAAGTTTGGTTTTCCCTTCAACCCTGACAGCACCCAACCTGCCTGTTCCAAGTTTTAGGGGAAAAAAACATATATAACAAGAAGAACAGACGTTCTGTCCATAAGGAAATGCTTCCGCTGTCACCACACTTTGATATGATTAAGCTAATGTTTAATGCAAATCAGAGACCTAGACAATTCCTACTGAAATCATTAACCAATGACTTAAAAAAGTAAATTTTGACAAGGTACTTAACCTCTTTCTTATACTTGGGTCATGTTATCAGAAGAGATCAGTCACTGGAGAAGGATATCATACTTGGTAAACTAGTGGGTCAGAGACAAAAGGAGATGGATTGACACAGTGGCTATAACAATGCGCTTAAGCACAACAATGATTGTGAGGATGACACATGACAGGGCAGTGTTTGGTTCTGTTGTACATGAGGTCATTATGAGTCAGAATTGACTTGATGGCACCTAACAAGAACAATATAACTATCGTAATCAAGACTGTGTGGTATTGGTGAAGGGACAGATCAACGGAACAGAATAGAGAATGCAGAAATAAACCCACACAAATAAGCCCAACTCATTTTTGTCAGAGATTTGAAACTGAGGAGACTTCAGTTGAAACCTCATGTCCTGTGCAAAAATTAACTCAAAGTAAATATGAATCACGGAGTTAAGTGTAAAATATAAAACTCTAAAAATTTTAGGAAATGGATAAGGTGAAATCTTTGGGGCCTAAACCTAAGTGAAGGGTGCTTAGACTTAACAC